TATTAATATATATCTTATATAACTATATATAATAAGTATAATAAGTTTCTCAATGTTGAAAAATTATTTTACTATATAACAAAATCAATTGGGTAATTTAATGTTTTCATTTAATATTTTTTCAGTATTTTGTTTAGAAAGTTTATAGCTCTCTTTTTTGTATTAAAAAATTCAGGCTTTGGGGTTGGCCCCGTGGCCCAGTGGTTAAGTTTGTGTGCTCTGCTGCAGGCGGCCCAGTGTTTCGTTGGTTCGAATCCTGGGCGCGGACATGGCACTGCTCATCAAACCACTCTGAGGCAGCGTCCCACATGCCACAACTAAAAGGACCCACAACGAAGAATACACAACTATGTACTGGAGGGCTTTGGGGAGAAAGAGGAAAAAAATAAAATCTGAAAAAAAAAAAAATTCAGGCTTGGATATCAGTAATGCCAGTCTTACAAAATGAATTTGGAAGTGCTTTGTCTTTTTCTTTTCTTTCTTTTTTTTTTTTAAAGATTTTATTTTTTCCTTTTTCTCCCCAAAGCCCCCCGGTACATAGTTGTGTATTCTTCGTTGTGGGTTCCTCTAGTTGTGGCATGTGGGACGCTGCCTCAGCGTGGTCTGACGAGCAGTGCCATGTCCGCGCCCAGGATTCGAACCGATGAAACACTGGGCCGCCTGCAGCGGAGCGCGCAAATGTAACCACTCGGCCACGGGGCCAGCCCCTGTCTTTTTCTTTTTTTAAAATTTGGTAATAATTTAAAATAACAGGAACGGCCAACTGTTTATAGGCTTACTAGAACTGTATTGGTTTAGTTTCTTTTTGGTTGTAGATTTTTCACTTTTCCAATTATTCTATAATTATTTAGTCTATTCAGGTTTTCTACAGTTTTTTTCCTACAAGTTTAGGAATCAATTTTTATAACTTATACTCTCCTAGAAAATAATGAAAAAGGTTAACATTCATTATCTATGTGTGCCTACAAATCGAAAGGATGGCTAATCCACTTAAAAATAAGCCAATGCCAAGTCTGCATAGTTAATAGAAGAAAAATTCAAATAGCCACTTAATGTATATGCTTTAACTCCATCCTATTTAGGGTAAGCGTGTATCCGTGTTTCCTTGGGAAAGTCCTGGTTTATATCTGCTCTTCCAGTCAAATTATGACTGGTGTCACCTTTTAGTCTTAAAAGTTTTCTATTTAGACAATAAATTATATAGTCTCCCTAGTTATAATAAATAAAGTGAAATTTTAAACCATACTGAGGATTTTATTTTATTTTTTTTGCCAATCAGATTAACAAACATTAAAAAGATTTCTGACATGAATTGCTGGAAAGGGTATAGTGAAACAGAGGTATATTGGTGGAAGAGATAATTGGTACTGTCTTTTTGAGTTATAAATTTCTCAGTATCTATTAAAATGTTAAGTATGCATGTCATTTGATCTACCTATTGGCCTTCTAGGATCTTAACTTCTGGAAATTCTGATGCTGGTTTGCAAGCACATGTATGGGCAAGGTACTTGTATAGGTTGCTGATTAAATAAATAAAGGTACATTTATAAAATGAAATATTATGTAGATGTTTAAAACAATGAGATAGCTGTACAGATATTGGCATGGAAAGATTTCCGTTGTATATTAAGAGAAAAAAGTAAGATGCAGAATGATATTATAGTTTTAACTGACATTTAGTAAAATATACACATATACAATTTGTTTTCCTATGCTTACGAAAAAAGTTTGAAAATATGTACACCAAATTTAATACCTATTATCATGAGAGTTTAGATGAATAGAAACTGAAATGAGTAAATTCAATAAAGGTTTTGTTAAATATTAGGGAAAAGTCACTTTTAAAAAAACATAGCATACTCAACAATAATCCTGAGACACTATGTATGCTGGTAGAAAACAGAAAAACCTGGTTTTGGCTTGGTGACAAGCGTCAGAGCATAATCCCTTGGCTCTAGTAGAGCTGACCTTTCTTCTGGTTGGAAGCATGACCTTTTCCCTCTGACAGAAGACTTCATGACTCTATAAAAGAGTTTTGAATTCTGAAGAGAAGGGAATACTAGACCTCAACTTATGTAGTTACTATTTTTATATTTCTGTAAGAGTATACAGTCTTAGAATCTTAAGGCAGTAAGGGTGCTCAAGTGTCTTCTTGTCAACCCTCTAATTTCTTTTTCAGTCATAAAAGAAAGTTTTATCTGTTTTTCCAAGGAATATGTGCTTTGCATCTTATACACAATAATCCAGAGAGGAGAAAAAAAAGTTACCCAACAACTATTTTGAGGCATATATAACCTTAATATCCACACCATTCAAGGACAATGTAAAAAAAATGTAGGTCAACCTCCTACATGAGTCTGTATGAATAAATAAAAATACTACCAAATAAAATCAAGCAGAATATTAAAAACGACAGACTCGAGAATAAAGAACTTCAAATCTACAAGAAAAGCAGACTATTCAATGTAAAATTAGGAAAATACATCCATGTGCAATTCCCAGAATAATATGCAAATGGAACAATAATCATATAAAAGACACTCAAATTCATTATGACCATGAAAATGAAAACAATGACAATAAAAATAATATATCTATCATATTGAAGACAATAAAAACTTTAGAAAACCCAGTGTTGGTGAGAATGTGAGGAAAGAAGATTTCTCAGACACTGCTGTCGGAATGTGAACTGCTAAAATTATATTGGAGAATGATTTATGATATTCAGTAAAGGTGTATATAATCTACAACCAAGAAATTCTTCACTCAGCTATATATGCCGGAGATTCTCTAGGGTATGTATTTATCAGTGTCCTCATTTTACAGACAAAGGAAACCAAAGCCTAGTTTCTTTTACAATTAAATGAATTAATATATGTAAATCACTTATGTGCCTGGTACATATTACGCCATCTATTAAGTATATCTCTGACTATCATCATCATTATCATTGTGAATAATCAGCTGTAGGTGAAATTTTATAAATTGATCAATATCAATATTGACAAACAACACATGTTAGGTGCTCCATCATTGCATCTCTGGAGGGGTAGTCTAACAGCTGAATTAAAAAACCACCAAGTTTTGACCAGACTGTGAGGTCTGGAGGATGTTTCCTCCTTCCCACCTACAGCTTCAGTCATGTGTGTTTCCACAGTAACAATGTGGCCTTTATTTTTTAAGTTAATTTTTCATAGTTTTAATTAAGACAATTTTTTTAGAGCAGTTTTAGGTTCACAGCAAAATTGAGAAGAAGGTACAGCGATTTCCCATATACTCCTTGCCCTACACATGCATAGCCTCCCACATTACCAATATCCCTCACCAAAGTGGTACATTTGTTACAATTGATGAACCTACATTGACACATCATTATTACCTGAAGTCCATAGTTTACCTTTGGGTTCAGTATTGGTGATGTACATTCTACAGGCTTGGACAAATGTATAATGACTTGTAGCCATCATTATGGTATCATACGGACTATTTTCATTGCCTTAAAAATCCTCTGTGGTCTGCCTCTTCATCCCTCCTCCCCTCTCTCCAACCTCTGGCAATTGCTGATCTTTTTACTGTCTCCATTGTTTTGCCTTTTCCAGAATGTTATTTAGTTGGAATCATACAGTATGTAGCCTTTTCAGATTGGCTTCTCTCACTTAGTAATATGCATTTAAGATTCCTCTGTCTTCTCACAGCTTGATAGCTTATTTCTTTTTAGCACTGAATAATATTCCATTGGATGTACCATAATGTTTTTATTCATTCACCTTCTGGAGGATGTCTTGGTTGCTTCCAAGTTTTGCTAATTACGAATAAAGCTGCTACAGACATCCACATGCAGGTTTTTGTATGGGCATGTTCTTAACTCCTTTGGGTAAATACCAAGGAGAGCTACTGCTGAATTGTATGGTAAGAGTATTTTTAATACTTTAAGAAACTGCCAAACTGTTCTCTAAGTGGTGGTGCCACTTTGCATTCCTACCAGCAATGAATGAGTTCCTGTTGCTCCATATCCCCACCAGCATTTGGTGTTATCAGTGTTCTGGATTTTGGCCAATTGGTGTGTAGTGGTATCTCACGGTTGTTTTCAAACCAAAAAAAAGTGGACCTTTTGAGAAGTTGAGGGGCACTCTCTGATCCTTGAAACACCCAATCCTCTTCCTAGAGGCTCTAGGCCCCCAGGTTGTGTTTCACTAGACCCATGTCAGTTTCTGGCTTCTTGGGTTTTGGGTTTCAACGCCTGCCTAGAGGGGAAGAAATAGGGAAAGAGTAGGGACCGCGCTGAAACCCACCTGAGACGGCAGGCCTGGGGAAGTAACGCCTGGAAAGAAGCTTTGTCAAGTGCTACCCTAGGGCCAGGCAACATTCCGCCTCAGCTCCCTAGCAGACGCCACCAGGAAAGAAAGAGGTGCCCAGATGATACACTCCTCCTGGCGCGTGACGTGGCTCTATTTTATTGTATTTTTTGGCAGCCAGAGGTCGGTAGGAAGTACTCCTTTAGCTCTGATCCTCAAAGGCACGGTCCTGAGAGGTTTCTTTAAAGCGGAGCGTTCTGGGAATAAAGGTTGCTTGGGGCGGATGTGAAAGTAAGGCCACGCTGGCCTGGCCGGAAGGAGAGGAACAGAAACTAGCCTAAAAAGGAAAAGCGATCATGCTGGGTTTAGGAAAGCTAATCCAGAGTGTTAAATGGCGTTTCAGGAGAAATCTGAAAGCTGTTGGTTTACAGCAGGAGTCAAGCATAGACGTGTCCAGGCTCGGGGACCCTCCTCAAAGGATCAGAATGGACACAATGGGTATCTCTTCCCAAAAACACTTTAAAAGCGGAGAGCCCAGGCTTCTGCAAGCCGGGGGCCTCCTTTCCGCACAGCCTGGGTCCCAGCCTCTCAGCGACCTCGAAGGCCCGGAGAGGGGAAATCCAGGCGGGCCCTGGAGCGGCCGGAGTGGGCTCCGGCCAGCCCGCACACTGGGCATGCGCAGGGGGTGGGCCGCCAGGTTGGCTCAGGGAGCCGTGACGAGTCCGGAAGCGCCTGCGCGCGCCCCACCGCTCGACAACTAGTTTTGTTCCGCGTCCTGCGGCCGGGAGTCCTTCTGAGCGAACCCCCCGGCCGGACCCGGTCGGCGCCGGCAGCACCGCAGCGATGTCCAGCAACAGCTTCGCTTACAACGAGCAGTCCGGAGGAGGGGAGGCGACGGAGCTGGGGCAGGAGGCCACCTCGACCATTTCCCCCTCCGGCGCCTTCGGCCTCTTTAGCAGCGATCTGAAGAAGTGAGCAGAAAGGTTGGGGTGCGGGGCGGGCCTGAGGAGCGGGGCCCCGGGGGGCGGGCGCCGGGAGAGCGTGGGGTCGTCCTGAGCCCGCCCCGGAGTCGGCGGTGGGGTGTCCCGCAGGTGGGTGGGGCGGGTCCGTGGGAGTTGTTGGCGAGTTTGGGGTGAGGGTGTGTAGGGATCTCTAGTAGTTCTCAGACTTGAGTGAAAAAAGAGCCGTTTGGGTCCCGTCCCCGAAGACTCTGCTCTGATTGAGTTGGTCTGGGCTGGGGCGCAGGAATCTGAATCTTCAACAGTCACTTCTGGCTGATTTCATGTTTGCTGGATCAAACTTGGGGAAATGGGCAGCGTAGGGTGAGAGGAGGGTTGGCCAGTGGAGAGGGAGGGTTAGTGCGCGTGCTGCTCGTGGGAAACCTTCCTTCGACCCCGGAGTGTAGGAGCCTGGAGGTGTTCTAGGCGCTCTGGGAATGGACAGACTGATTTATGCCAACCTTTGTATTCTTGGACAGTATCCTTTGCACTACAGACGAAAAACCCCAATCCCAAACAAAATAATAAACATATGAGAAGAGAGTATTTAGAGTGTTACCGTGAACAAATCCTACAATTTTACAAATGAATAATGTTAATTTTAGCGCACTCTAAAACAATGTACACTTCGTTTTGTAAAAGTTAGAGTATTTTAAGTACCATGGAAAAATGGAAAGAAAGCACCCCTAAATTGTTTTTTGCTTTTTGTTTTGGTGGGAGGGATTTTAAACTTACAGAATCCTGGTAACTTTATATTTTATTGTAATCATTTTCACATCTTTTAAATGTTTAATCTCTCAGTACTCAACATTGTAGTTATGTATTAGGCTGTCACTAGATTCATGCTGAATTAAGGTAAAGTAGCCGTGCTGGTGGCTTTGCAAATGTCAGAAGGAAATAATTAAAATTTAATTTAAATTTTACTGACAAGATCGGGCAGTCTGGAAAGTTGCTGGTAGTTGAAATTGGGATTGAATTTTGGCTGTACTAAGCTGACTGAAATCTTGTGTACAGCATGTGGAATGCAGTTTTCCCCCCCTTATTCTCAGATTAGAAAAGTTTAAAAGTAATGTAACTAATTTCTTTTCATTTTTCATTTTGCGCATTGAGATAATGGATTGTTCCAACAAGGGCTGGTTGTAGCTGTACAGTTCTCTTAGCAAAATGTTTCAACTGTTGAATTAACCTCGAAGTCTGCCTTAGTCTGTTGGCTCGGGACTGGTTTACAATTAATTTACTTTTAGTGGTTTGTGAAGATCTAAGACGTTCTTCTCTTAGAGCCTCGGATTTCCTATTTTGTCCGATTTGGGCCTGATGTGGAGAAACATGTATGGCATTGCCTATGACCAGTGCTGTTGAGGTGATCGAGCAGGTTGATTTAAAATAAAAATAGCTGACATTTCTTGAGTGCTTGTACATTTGTGCACACTCCTTTACATTTATTGTTTCATTCAGTCATCCTAGTAACCCCGTGACTTGTTACCAGATATTTCTCTGATCTTACTTTGCAGATGAGGAATGGAAGCACGAGTGGTTAACTTGCCCAAGATCACAGAGCTAGAACCCTGGATTTGAACCCATACATTCTAATCTTAGGGCCCATTCTTTCAAGCCCTTGGATATGCTACTTACTACCTGATAAAATTTACAGTGCTTTTTAGAGAATGCATGCAACTCATTAAAAGTTTAAAACTTTGAATAGTAGCTGTGGACAGTGTATGACCTTGAAGCTTTAGGAATTAGAAACATTTTGGCCATTGAACTGCAACCTCCTGGGCTTGTACAGAAACAAGGGAACCCCACTTCTGGAAGTGGTCACTTAATCTCTCTTGAACCTACATTCTCTCCTCTATAAAATGGTGATATTTCTTGCCTTTTTTAAAAAAACCAAATGACAAAACTTAAAACTTACTCTGTTCCTCTGCTCTAATTTGTTTTATTGAAGTATATTTGACATGTAATGTATTATTTTGATGTACATCATGATTTGATATTTATATTTATTGTGAAATGATCACCACAGTAAGTCTAATTAACATCAGTCACCATACCTAGTTGCAATTATTTTTTCTTGTGATGAGACCTTTTAAGATCTATTCTCTTAGCAACTTTCAGACATATAATAGATTATTATTAACTGTAGTCGCTGTGCTGTGCTTTACATCCCCGAGAGTTATTTCATTTGTAACGGGACGTTTGTACCTTTTGACCCCCTTCACCCCTTTTTCCCACCAGCTCTGTTCTAATTTTTGATGGTTTACTTTGAAATAGTTTCAAGTTTACAAAAAAGTTGCAAAAATAGTACAGAGAACTATCCCTTATGAAGATTCACCGATTTTTAAAAATTTGCTACATTGCTTTCTTTCTCTCTTTCTCCATACACACACAGACACGTACATATATTCACATTAGAATGTTTTCTGATCCATTGGAGAATAAGTTGTATGCATGATGTCCCTTTACTCTTAATACCTTAGTGTGTATTTTTTTTTTTTTAAAGATTTTATTTTTTTCCTTTTTCTCCCCAAAGCCCCCCGGTACATAGTTGTACATTCTTCATTGTGGGTCCTTCTAGTTGTGGCATGTGGGACGCTGCCTCAGCGTGGTTTGATGAGCAGTGCCTTGTCTGCGCCAGGGCTCGAACCAACGAAGCCCTGGGCCGCCTGCAGCGGAGCGTGCAAACTTAACCACTCGGCCACGGGGCCAGCCCCCTTTGGTGTGTATTTTTTAGGAAGAAAGATGTTCTCTTAACAACCATAGTACTGTTATATTCAGGAAATTTAACATCATTGCAATCTACAGTCTGTAATCCAGTGGTGTCATTTGTCCCAATAAAAAAATATTTTTTTATTAGCATTTTTCCCTCTAGTCCAGGCTCTCGTCCAGAATCATGTATTTCGTTTAGTTGTCGTCTCTCTTTACTCCCCCTTGATCTGGAATAGTTGCTTAGCCTTTGTCTTTCACTACATTGACATGTTTGAAGAATACAAGCCAGTTATTTTATAGCATGTTAATCAGTTTGGGTTTGCTGGTGTTTCCTCGTGTTTGGATCCGTGTTATGTATCCCTGGTCAGAATACGGTAGTATTATCACTGGTAATAGGTGATGTGGCTTCTCAGACTACTGCATCTGGGGGCATTGGATGCCCATCTTCATGGTCTTAATTTTCACAGTCAAAGGGTTGCTCATTATTTCTGTTTTTAAAATAATCTCTCTATGGGGGGACCCTTTCAGACCATGCAGATGTCTTACTCCTCATTAAATTCACCACCTCCTGCATTTAGCAACCATTGATGAATCTCCTGAACCAGTCTTTATCACAGTGGCTGCAAAATGGTGGTGTTCCAACTCTGACTGCTTCCACTGTGCCGCTCTTTGGCCTCTTGTCCTGAGGCTCTGTGTTCTTTGATCCTTCACTAACCATCTCAGGGATGCCTAATCACTTCGCAGTCGCAGGATTATTCATGATTTTTGTTTTCTGAATTTAATCTTATTTATCAATCATATTTGTTCCCTCCTCCCTTTAAACAAAGCCAGAGTTAGGGAGTTTTAGATGGCTTTTTGAAAGCAGGTCCTATACATCACTTATAGGTTAATCAATCCTGTGTATTAGATTCTTGGCTTCAAGATTTTCAGTTTCTTCATTTAAAATGTAACAAATTGATTTTTTGGGATTCTTTTCTTTTGGCATTGTTGTAAACTTTTATTCCTCTAGATTTTTTCTAAATTATTTTCCTTCTTCGTCTTAAACAAAGAAGCTCTTCTTTTATCTTAACCAGTTTGGCTGTGTGTGTATAATTAAAAGATAATTTTATTTCTAGATTAAACATTTAATTAGGAATTAATTTCTAGAAAGGAACAGACAAGGCTGATGTTTCTTAACAATAGTAAAACTCCTAAATTTCTGGATCTCTTTTCCTTTGAGAGTATCACGGTGTATTAGAAAGAGCATTGGAACTAAAGTGAGAAGACCTGGGTTTAAGTTCTTTTCCACTTGTAGAAGTGTTTTCTTGTTCAAGTTGCTTGATCTCTTCAAACTTCAGTGTCTTCATTTCTAGAAAGGGTGTGATAATACTTGCGTATTTTGTGAGTTTCTCATGGGGTGGTATAATTGAAGGTGATTTTAGCACTATTTGGAAAGGTTGGTGAAAGCTTCACTGAAGTGCTGACATTTTAGGTCTTAAAACGTGAGAAGGTTTTTGCCAGGTGGAGGAAAGGGGAGTTCTTCAGGCAAAGTATATGGAAACAGGAGAGTTCCAAAAGAAAATGCATGTTCAGATGAGATATAGATTTGGGCGTCAACATTTAGAAATGTAGGTAGTAATTAAAGCATGGGACTGGATGAAATCGCCCAGGGAGAGCTTTCTTGTCAGAAGAAGAGGCAGTTTAGACAAAACTCTAGGGAACACCAACATTTAAGCTGTGAATGGAGAAGAACTAGGGAAGAGACAGTGCTCAGAGGGCTAGGAAACCAGAAGAAGCTTTAAAAAAAAAAAGGGAAGCTAAGAGGGAAGTTAGTAAGAGGAAATGGTCAACTCTGTTTTGAATTGCAGAGTGAGGGCAAAGAGAAGGAAGGCTGAAAAGAGGCCATTGGATTTAACAATTAAAAGGTGACTTAGCAACCAGGAACTTAGCAATGCAGTACCTTCTCAACCACATTGAAAGGTAGCATTTTTAGTCCCTTGTGAAATTGGGGTGGGCTTTCGTTTGTTTAGATTCACAGAGCTGATTTAGACCCAGACGGAGTGCTGCAAGCTCTCCTGTAGTCATACTGCATCATGTAACGTCAGGTAGTCGGTGCTACATCAGTGTAGTTGCATTGCATTAGTAAAGCCTGGCTTAAATCAAAACTGAATCAAGAAGAAGTAGAGAATTTGAATAGACCAGTCACCAGTAAGGAGATCGAAACAGTAATTGAAAACCTCTCCCAAAATAAAAGTCCAGGACCAGACGGCTTCCCTGGTGAATTCTAC